TTAGCAGCAGCCCCGATGCTCGTTCCCTCCTGGGGAGCGCAGTGTTGGAAAGAGGGAGGCCGAGCGGATGCTCGACTCCCCCGGGGTTTCCCGCCTCAACGGCCACACCGCTCCCTGCCGTCGGCGCACTCCTCTCGGAGCTGCCCGCCATTATCCGGGAAGCTGCTAACGTAAAGGGGCTCTCCGTCCCCTCACCCCCCCCCCCCCCCCGCTCAGATCGGATGATCTTGCGGGAAGGTTTGGCTCCACGCCGGCTCGCCGTCTTGATCCCATCTGGCCTCGTTTTCCAGCGGTGACATCGTACTGGAACGAGGCCGCAGCCGGTCCTGGTAGGTTAAGGGCGCCCGTCTCCACTTACGCTCCCATCACCAGAGTGGAGGGGTTCACCGAGCGGGGCTATCCCTCGGTACCCCCCCTTGAGCCAAGCCTCGCGGAAGCCTTCGGAGCGAAGCTGTCCAGGTTGGAGCAGCGTCCCGTCCCTCCGGGGAAACACGACCAGGCGGTGACGCGCTCTCCAATCGAGCCCACCAGTGTGCTTTTCAGGCGGCCGCAGCTAGCAACAACGTGGCGCTGCTAGCATTTAGCATGTCGAAGAGGCTGGAGGCCGCGAACCTGCCCGAGGAGACAAAGAGCTCCCTCTGTAAGACGGCAGACGCCATCCTCAACATGTGCGCCACTTCCACGGTTTGCCTGTCTAGGATTGCAGCGTGGATGACGTTAATCCAACGATCCACCTGGCTTCGTCACTCTCCCTCGCTGCCGGAAAAGCTGCACAAGGACCTGATGGAGGGCCCCATCACGTCGGATGCGCTGTTCGGAAGCAGCTTAAAAACCATGCTGGCGAATTCGAAGCAGTCGGAGGAGATGTCGGAAGCTGTGCGCCATCTCATCAAGCCGCGCGGCTCATCCCGTCTCCCGGCCCGCTGGAGAGATCGTCGCGAGCAGAGGCAGAAACATCGGCGCTCCACGGCCGCAGCAGCTTCGTCTCGCTCAGCTCCACCACCAGCCCCGCCCGTCAGAGACCACCCCTCCTCATTCCGGCAACCTGCACTTCAGCGTTTCCCCAGAGATCGCCTGCAGACGGCGCTCGGGGCAAACAAATCGCAGAGCTCACGGGGGAGAAGATTTAAAAAATGACGGTCTGCGATGTGTGTATAAATGACACAGAAGTTGAAATAAATGATTTTTCAATGATCAAAGTGTCTGTTTTTAGCCAGTCTGTAAGCTCGGATGAGCTCACAGCCGCTGCACACACATCCTCCACACATAAAGAGCCGGTGTCCTTAAATAAAGGTTTTTTAAACCCACCGCCGCTCCAACACATGACGAGATGCTCACTCGACACTACGGTAAGCGAAATAACTCGTTATCAATCAGACCCGCACGATCATCACCCAAGCGGTGTTAACCTTCCTAGCGTGGCGAGATCCTGCACGCACTTATGATGTGAACGGGTCAGTTGTGACCCGTCTTAAATCAGCCACAAAATACCCTCAAAACAGTGTTTTTTTAAGAAGTATTAGAACACATCTCTAAAATAAATTTGTCTTATTATTTTGTTATTTTAATATTATTAACCATAGTAACATTTATAGTGTTAAGGGTAAGTTTTGACCCATGTATATTTACGTCAAAAAAAGGAAGAAACATTTCTTTTCAAACATTGAACTTTAATACCAATATAAAATAAAAAGCAGAACAAGTAATAATAGAGTTGTGGGTGTGGTCGATGTTGAAGCCCGGCTGCCTGAAGGGCGTGTTGTCACTGATGCACTTTGTGCAGCTGATGATGTAGTTGGAGTGGTGCTCCGGAGCTGTCTCACAAGGTTTGCAGTGGCTGGGTCTCGGGGTATCCGTTCCCTTCTCTCAATGTATGGCTTGATCAACAAATTTCCTAGCTCCTGAAGGAACAATCTCCGCTTGTGGGTTTTTTTGGCGTTCCACCCCAAGTCAATCTGGGTCCACAAGACAAATGCATTGTATGCAGACACATCTAGGATGTTGTAAAATACAACCATTGGCCATCTCCTGGTCATTCGCTGGCAAGTGTAGGTGGCAGTCAGCTTGTCCAGGGTGTCCACTCCTCCTTTGTTTTTATTGTAGTCCAGGATGATTTCAGGCTTTTTGTCACTTCTTGTTGACACAGCTGCATCTTTGTGAAGAGTGGACATAAGTACCACACTCCGGTTCTTTTTGGGACAGTATGAAACAACACTGGTGGTTTCTGTAAAAGCAAATTTTGAAGACAGTGGAGCCCTGTCTTTCACCTACAAAATTTCAAGGGGCAGCTCAGGTTTGTTTTTTCTTATTGTGCCCACCATGGTAAGTTTCCTCTTGAGAAGTTCTTCTCCAAGATCATAGCTGGTGAAGAAATTGTCACACGTGATATTGTGACCCCGCAGTCCAGTAGTCATATCAAGGATTACCCGTTTTCCTTGATTCTTCTCAGGGATGCCAGCTGCAAGTTTGCCTGTGTAAATCTGTAGATTCCAGGCATAGCTGGTTTTCGCATCACAGGCTGCCCAGATTTTTATGCCATATTTGCCTGGCTTACTGGGCATGTATTGCCGGAAGGGGCATTTTCCACGGAAAGGGAGAAGACGCTCATCCACTGTCCCCTCTGGTCCTGGGTTGAACATCAGTGGAAGGAGCTTCACCCATCTATCCCAGACGTCTTTGATGGGAGCAAGCTTGTCAGACCGTGCTCTAGTATCTCTGTTGTCAAATCTGAGGACTCTTGAGATCATTTGAAAGGTCTGAAGTGACATTGTTGCGCGGAAAATACTCCTGCCTGTGGACACATCCCAGAGACTAGTAAGGGCCTCATTGCTGGATCTGTACACGCCAGCGAGAAGAAGAACACCAATAAAAGCATCCAGGCACTCCTCATCAATGTCCTTCCAAGTGTCACCGTGAACTTTTTT